ACAACGACAACGACAACGACAACGACAACGACAACGACAACGACAACAACAGCAACAACGACAACAACAACAACAAGTTCACATGCTGGCAAAAGACCACTTGGTGGATTGAAGACCTTGGGAGACATTTTTGGTCTTTGTCCGACTGAAGGTTCACAAGCTGCTTTGCAAAAGGGACCCGTCTTTCCGTCCCATGAGAGTTGCCTTGGTCCGCTCATCACCCCCTCCACAAGCAAGCAACATGTTCTGGAAGATTTTGTCCTGGCTGTGGAATTGGCCCTGGGCCCTGGACCTGGCCTGGAGCTGGCCCTTCCAAGCCTTGGCGGGCAATGTCCGAACATCCCGCCAAATTGGTTCCATTCCACCCCGCCCATGTTCCCACATCTGACGTAACATCATCCGAAGGACGCAACGCCAACCAAGGTAACCAAGGTTCAATGTCAAGAGCGGCTGACCAACCTCTACACTACAAACGGTTTCATGCATGACGCAGCAGCATTTCGACCACAATCCACAATCCCAACGAACGACCCCACCAACAACCCCTCCACGGGTTTGGATTTTTTGCTGTTATTTTTGCACACTCAACATCACTCAACCTCTGTATTTTGTCTTGTGAGGTCTCACGGTCTCACCATGTAATATGGCATGGGCTCAAGCAGAAAACAGGCCACTTTCTTCACAAGCTTTCGCAATTGCCTTTGCTTCGCATAGCGTCACATACGTGCACATCTCCCGGGACTGTGTTCGGACACTGTAGGGACCCTGCGCGAAAACTCCGCGCCACCCGCCTGCGGGTTCCTACATTCTATATAACATCATCATCATCATTTTTCCCAGCCGACACTTTCAGGTGAAAAATTGTAGACTTGTCCGGGTGCGTGAGCGAAGGCACGGACACTGTCATTGACTGAAAAGGCATTAACCCTCAGGGTCCCCGAGGGACTCCACCGGTCAAAACAGCCACATCTTGAAGAATGTAGACCAGCCAGGACAACAGAAGGGTCATATCAGTGTCTCCTCCCAGAACAACAGTCAAAACGAGTCAATGACAACCACTGACGCACTTTGGGAACCCTCGAAGCCCAACAAACATGGTGAAACCATGTGACACGGCAAATGGTCGCTTATGTCAATCGCGTTGTTCCACCACACTGACCGACACCTGTAGGAAACAACAGAGGGACACACTGTGTGTGTAAACAGGCGTTCCAAGAGCTCTCTCATGTGTCGTGGCTTTTGTTTATATGAGGCCTTTTCGCCTCCTTGATCACCACAACATTATCGGTGTTGTCCGTTGCATGGTTGGTCCTTTATTGGTCACGCAGTGACCGGTACGTCTACGTTTTGATGCTGCTTCAACGGTTTTAGTCAGGAATGTCAATAAGGGTTACTGAGTCAGCCACTTGGTAGTCCATTGTGACAAGGTCGCCATCAAGAAGGCCCAAAACTCGGGCGTTTTTGATGCAACTGCCATCGTTCGATTTTCATGGGTTTCAGGGCTTCTCAATGCTGAGGTTTTCCAAGACAAGAGATACAAGAATCGTGAGCTGCAGATCATGAAGGATCACGATGCATTTCTCTTTGTCTCATTGTCCAAGATCTCTGAATAACTGGTGGTTTGCACAGAATCTTGCATTGGAAAACGAGGAGTTGAAGCACCCAAATGTGGTGGAACTGAAGCATGTGGGGGCCCCTTGAAGAGCCAAGATGATTATTAATATATATATATATGGCAAACCAACGCAATTTTCCGAGGCTTTCTATACCTCTGGGGACAAACCGGGGGAAACCTACTTGAATGCGCCTTGGCCGTGGACGTTTCAGAAACCGCTACACCAACTCCTGGAAACTCTTTCCGGCGAGCTCAGGTGGTTATGGAGTACTGTTCAGACACAGTCTACCGGGTCCAAGTCTTGGAATGTGCTTGATATGACATGAAACGCCATGTTCATGCTACTTATACAGTTCATTTTGCACTAAACGGCCACTGTCGGAAGAACCACATGTTTTTCTTTTCCCCTCCTTTTCCTGCCCAAAATTCTCATTTTGGGACGTCACTTCGGCCTCGTCGCCTGCGAGGTGATGAAGCACTACACAAAGATGAAGCAGCATCTTGACTAGTGAATTCTAGTTTGGATGCGCAGTAGTGCGAAGTCAATGCGAAGTGCGTTCCTGGTCGATGTAGATTTTTAAAAAAATGTTAGGCACATCTCAGACACTTTGACCACCAAGGCCCGTGCCGCATATTTTCGTGCAGCTCTACTCCTATCAAATGGCACGTGCTTGTGCTGCTTGGCTTGGCCGTAACTGAGCCACGTGCTTTGTGCAGACGAAGACTTTTACGCCCTTGGTTGATTGATTGAGGGGATGCCCTCAAGCGTACAAACAGGTAAGGCACCCACCGGCCCCTCTCTTCCAAAGTACGGACCTCATTGGCGCTCCTTGGACGCCGTCCAGGCATACATCCATGCGGTGGGCATTTGTCACCGAGACATCAAGCCTCAGAACCTGCTTGTGGACGGTGGCAGCCTCAGTGACGGTTGCAAGCGGCGCTGCTTCTCTCGGTGAGAAGAGAGGCAGCGCCAAGCAGCGAGATCCCCAGCAAAGCACTTAAGATAGATAACGTTGTATCCGCGGAAACGAGGGTGATCGAAAGATGTCTGAGTCTAATTACATGACATAGTGTAGATGAAACAAAAGCATTTTTTGAAAGTCCTTCTCTCCTCTCTTTTGCATCTCTTGAACTTAAACGTCCTTTTTTAGGTGCATGAGTGCCAGACTAGCGGATGACCCTCCCTCCCCCTGGGTATCCCCTAAGCCTGTGATGCCTTCGCGAGTTGCTTTCCGTATTTTTCCTTTTTTTTTTCCACAGTTCAGTCGAACATCGGATTCTGCGGCCCGAAGCACACAAACGAACAATGTTGTCGGAATTGATCTAATGGGTAATCCATTGTCAGAGCGCTTTGAATGCTCAACATCTCAAACCACGTAGTTTCACAGCCAGTCACCGCCACCGTGACAGTCACCACATCAAGGTGACAAGAATTGCCTTAAGAGGCTTAAGCGAGCGCTTCATGTCAGTGTTCACAGTTTGGCCCGTGGAACTTCATGACATTCAACTTGTTGCTGGACCTTTGGCCTTGCCTTCAAGCATCGTTTTAGCACGGCTCGGTGCAACTTCATCGCCAGCCCGACCTGTTTGGAGCAACTCCAGTCGTCGTCGTGGTTCTTTGTAGGCTGGAGTTGCTCCAAAGTGCGGTCTTTGTGTTGCCTCTTCTTTTGACACTGCCTCTAGACTCTAGATGTTCGCGTTCTAATGGAAGAAAGAGATGGAAACATGGGCTCCCCTTCAACACACCCCTTGAAGGGGCCTTATCAAAGGGGACCAAACTCTGTCTGGCCAGTTCAGAGTGCAGGCCGGGCCTTTGTACAAGTCTGCGGGTAGCAAGGTCTCTTGACCCACACCTGGGCCAAACAAAACAAATCAAATCTCACATTCAATGCCCTGAATACGGCAGCAGCACCACTGGGCAATTTTTACACATAGTCACATAGTCATACAGTTATATAATGTTATATATATATAGTTATATAGGTCATACATGGTCATACTGCTGGTATAACAGCTACTGTTGGTGGCCAAGTGTGATAACTGCACATGTTCAGTCCCTCGCAAGAAATCATCCTCCGAGCGATCTGTTTAGCCGGAGCGAGGGTTCCTTGGAACCTTGAAGAACCGGAGATAGCTAAGTAAGCTCCTTTGGGGGCTTACTTAGTTTACCCACTTTTCTTACCCTGCACTTAGCCCCTCTACCCCTTCACAGCTGAACGCCCCCCTGAAAAAGGCCCAGTCACATGCATTGAAACGGCCATGAGAGAGAACATGGCTGAGGTCACACACACGCGCTGAAGATTTGTGATTTCGGTTCGGCCAAACCGCTTGTGAAGGGCGAGCCAAACGTTGCGTACATTTGCTCCTTGGTTCCACTGGATTCGTGTTCACTCATGTCTTGGTGTATTTCAATGTATTTCAGGAAGTATATCACTTTCGCATCCTTGGACAGTTCCATTTTGCAGCATACAGCATCCCATTTAATATGCCATTGTGGAACTCGAAGGTTCCAGGTACTACCGAGCGCCAGAGCTAATTTTTGGTGCGACGGACTATGGCTTCGTAGGGGACCTAGCATGTTTGCAGCTTCCCATTCGATCCTGCAGACCGCAGATCAAGGAAGCACACAGTCAGCCGATCAAGGTATTTTACTATTAGACCGTCTATGATTTATTACTGTAGACATCTATGATTCTATGGCATTTGACTATTAGACCGTCTATTAGACCGTCTTATCGTCTATGACCCACTATATGTTTTCTAGCAGGTGGGCCCACGATGGTAGCGCGTGTGTTTGGGAGACTTCTCTGACGAAAACTCTCGCGGTCACCAGGTGATTGACATCTGGTCCATGGCTTGCGTGTCCGTGCAGTTCTTAGCCGTATTAGATCGATTGAGCCAGAAAGCTTGGGCTCAAGATTTTAACCACATACCCGCACGTGGCATGTTTAGAAAGCAGTGGCATCTCTGCTTTCTGCATGTGGGCTGAGCTCAGTTCAAAAAGGTTTGCTTCACTCAGGCTGAGCTGATTCTGGGACACCCGATCTTCCCAGGAGAGAGCGGAGTTGACCAATTGGTCGAGATCATCAAGGCTCTTTTGCCGAACTCATGTTTTTTTTTTCCTCTCTCTCTCTCTCTCATAATCTTCATGCATTTCAAAGATGTTTGTTTTTGCTTCGCGGTTTCAATTGGTGGATGATTTCGAGAAAACTCAATCTTGCAGGTTCTGGGCACGCCGACGCGTGAAGAACTGATGGCCATGAATCCAAACTACACGGAGCCACCTGGCAGATCTATGCTTTTTTATGTGTTGAGTCACCGAAGTCTTTCTAGTTGCCACATGTTGCCACTATTGTTGCTTTGCCCTTGTCAAGCATCATTGTGCCTTAGAGACCGCGCCGGTGGTGCACTATCCAGCTTTGACTTCGAACTACATTCATTTCAGCACATAACGCAACTAAGCCAAAAGCAATATCAAGAGAGATCCACAGAATATGTGAGTGCATGTTTGCATTCGTGCAACTCGCAATGCATGACGGGTGTAACAGCTGTAGCTGCAATTCCATGCAATTCCTTTTTTGAAGCAAGAGTTGTTCTAACCAGACAGCAGAGAAAACGTACGACGAAGACGTGTCACAGATTTGGTTGGTGTAAAATTCAACTTTGTCTCCAAGTCACCTGAAACCATCTTGGGGCTGGCGATGATCCGATGGAGCAGCTAAACGAGCTTCGCAACAAGAACGAGTTGCTCATAAAGTTGCAGAATGGACAACTTAGTGGACTTAGTGGGCCTGCAAGCGGCCAGTACTCCATTGGTCTTTTTGCGGACGTGCTCCTGAAGATGCAACGTGCTTTCGGGCCTTCTGATACCTTGAGATGTCTGAGAGTCTTGCAAGCCTTCTTGCCCTTGGTCGATGAACAGTTGTTCCAAGTCCTCAGTGAGGTTTCTGCCGCTGGATCTGCTCCGCGCGAGCCGAGGGAGAAACCAGAAAGCGATGCAGACATGGCAGCGCAGACGTCCGCGCCGGTGTCCTGCGCTTGCCATGTGACCATCGAGGGCGTAGATTTGGCACAGTCGGCACTGGAGGATTTCATGAACTCATACTACATGTTTCATGACTTGGACGCAGGATCAACTTCCGATATTCTCAAGTATCTTCCATTTTTGGGATTTATGGAGAGTCACATCTATGACTTGGACCAAGCAAATGAGGACTTTCTAAATCCTGAGCAGAGGTCTTCTTCGGGGTTGGAGGACGATCCCTTTGTGCCGTTGAGACAGGTGCTGCAGGAACGTTCCTGGATGAGTCTAGAACTGGAAAAGGAATTTCAGTGTGGAGCACGTTTCTGGGCACTTGAGCGAAAGATTTGTTCGGCTTTGGCGGTGCAGGATTCAATTCAGCAGCATGAGGTTGAAGAGGCGCTGCGATTGAAGTCATTCGATTATCGCGCTATGAACTTATTGCTTTACAATATGAGAGGCGTGGCTGTGAACAGGGCACACATGGATTTCCTGGCAACCTCTGAAATCTTGGTGGAAATTGGTGATGATTTGGCTGACTATTATGATGACATTGAGAGGAATTCCTTCAATGTTTACCGCTGCTTTCTGGCCATACATGGTCTCGAGAAGGGGGGCGTCAGAGCTGCAGAACTTCATTTTATCTGCTGAGCGTGCATATTCGACGGCGTTGGCTGCCTTGCAAGAGGTAGACAAAGCGTTAGCTGCAAAGTGGTTGGAGCGGAGCATGTCTTCACGCAGGTTTTGCTGCGGTAGTGAGAAGCCAGAGGGAGGTAGCTGGGAGATCCCCCCACCAGTGCAGGAGAAACAAAAACGTGCGCTATCGGGCGCCACACTTTCATTCGTGCCATTTTGCTCCAAGATAGACTAAGGGCCACAGCACTTGCCAGTTCTTAGAGTCTTAGAGTTGAGACGGCCAACCAGTCTTAGAGCAGGGTCACTGATGAACTCAGGGTCACTGCAAGTTCGGACGAGCCACTTTGCGTTTCAGAATCGTTCAAGGTTTAAGTTCCCGCAGATCAAGCCGCACCCCTGGCACAAGGCCGGTGTAGATCAAGCCGTCATGGCACACGCTGAAAAGATGACGAACCAAGTGATAGGTTTTCCGTGCGCGCACTTCTGCTGACGCAGTGGACTACATTTCCAAGCTGCTAGTTCGAGCCTAAGAGATCACTGCACGCAATAGAGCCTTTGTGGCTGATTTGATGAGTTTGCATTTGTTTTGTGCGCGTTCACTGCGAGAAGAAAAGACATGAAAAAGCTGAAGACGAACCCAGACGAACCCAGTCGAGCGAAGCTGAAGGTCTATGACCCGAAACTCCGACCATCTGGTCTGCAGTCCGCTCCCCGGGTCGAAGACCGGGAGAACATCCGGGGGGGGTGTGATGTCCTGTCGTAGTTCCCGTCGATTTCAATCTCCTTTGGTTAATCTTCAATCTGCTGTATGTTGTTTCACACCCGTTGACAAGAGTGAACTGTTTGCGGAGACGAGGGGAGATGTGTTTTTTCTCTTCGGCCGCAGTGTTGCCCCAAGTTTACATTTTTGGGGCCTGCAGACTGCAGAAGTCTATTCCACGTTGATTGATATGTTTCTTGTCCTCAAGCCAGAATCGTTTTCTGATAGCTTTTCGATTTGCAGGTGTTGCACTCATGCTCTCTTTGATGACCTTCGGGATCCAAGCACACGCATTAGTAGCGTGGAGCCCTAACACCTGTCCGAAACGGGTGCTTGATTGAAAGCGATGGGCAAAGCACATGTTCTGTTAACTGCTAGTGCCACTGTTGGATTTTCTCATTTTGCTTGAGATGTTGAGATGTTGCTTTCAGTAATTGCGTTTATATTCTGAAGTATGTGAGCAATGACAATAATCCCGAACCCTTGGAGGAAAACTGTGAACTTCGCATTAGTGACATGAAGTCGGATGCAGCGAAGCAGCACAACCCTGCAGCACGGCCACAGCGCTTACAAAATCACTATGATTTCAGATCGTGACAACAGTTTTTCTATGCCCCAGAAGTGGAGCTATGCGGCTGTCGCAAATTGCAAATGCTATGCTGGGAGAGTGAAAATGGAAACCGGGAACCGCAGCTACCACAAGCTCAAACAAAAACGGTTTGGTCACACACCATTGAACATGCCAATGTGAGGGGGAGGGACCCTTACAATACACGCATACCTTACATGCATGAGATTATAGAATCCACAGGTGTTTGTTGAAAGGCCTCCTCGTTGGCTTACAAAGGTTTTATTTGATTTTTGTCGCGCCATTTGCATGCTTGTCTGCCATTGTATCTCAACCCTCCTCCGCGCATCCAATACCATTTTGTAAAGGAATGCATTTCTACCATGCCAATGCACTTGCGACCTTTCAGAATTCTCTTTGTTTATGCCAAAGGGCGTGCGCCGTCCGTCCTCGTTCGAGGACGGACGACTCGGATCCACGAGAACAGACGGCCCACTGTGTAAGTAGGCACGAGAACACCTCGAGCTATTTGGCTGTGAGTCAAAACCTTCCCAACCAAACCATGGTAGCTTGACCTCCCTTATAGAGGAATCTGCTCATTTTCGGGGGGTCAACAACCCGGGTGCCCAGGTTTTGACCCTCACCCATCTGACCACGATCACGTTGAGGCACCAAACCGTTGCCAGAACACCTCTTCAATTTCTCGAAGGAGGAATTGGCAAGGCACTTAGTTAAGCACCTCGAGGATACACATGCTGTTCAAACAGATGAATAGCTCATAGCCATAGCACACAAGTATCATTAAGCTCCTGAATTTGCTTGTTGTTGTTTCTTCTCAAGCAAGAGCACGCAACTAAGGCTATGATGGATGCCGAGCTGCAACGCAAACTCGTCCCTGCGTGGGTGACCGCCCGAATGAGAAAACTTGACGCATAAAGATGGCTGTGGTCAACAGTGCGGGCATTGAATCACTTTTGGCAAACAGGTTGCGGCTCAGGGCCAGAAGCCAGCACAATGAGCTGGCAAATCTGGCAAATGATGTCAAAGATGAGACTCTTGCCAACAGGCAGGATGCTTCAAACCCAGAAAGCACATTTTCACAAGTGAGAGGGGTCGCACGTCGCATGCTGTCGGAATCTACATACTATGATGTAATAAGTTGCTGGCCTATTTGAGTGCTTCTGCCGCTTTGAGGCTGCATTTCTCTGAGATTTGAGGGGCTGACAGCACAAGCTGCAACTTCTGCTTGCTGAGCGCTTTCAGCCACCCTTTTCAAAGCGGCTTCAAGCTGGCATTGCGAGGTGTCCTTTGGTTATACATTAATAACTATAAGAACAATAAAAAAAATTACATAATGTTCATCATTGATCTGCCAGGTTTGCTCCGGTCCAGGGCTTTGCAATGCCAGCTGGCAGGATTGCGCAATCCTTGCCATCCTTTCACTGCATCTCACTCAATGGGGCCTTTGTGCCCGGCACAGCTGGTTTGCTGGATTTGTGCCCAAAAGCACTGACTCCAGCAATTCGCTACAAATCAGCCACTCATAGCTCGTTTGTCCTTCGAATTGAGACTGCAAACACGGGGCATATCTAATTCTTTTAATGTTTCGAACGAGCATCGTTTCACTCAGCTGAGGGTCATGGGCTTGCCAGAGAACACCTTCCAACTGTGGGAGGGTGGTTCTCATGGAACTTTTTTGCAGGAGGCACTTTGAACATACCTGCCAAGACTCGTTTCTCATATCGAACTTTGCCCTATGCGCCCTTTCATGCCGAGCTGGCAGCTTCGGCCCCTGCGAAGCCGAACCTGCACGCGAGGCAGGCCTTGCAGGCCCAAAGTCATGCACCGCGAAGTGCTGCAATCGCTAGCCCCGAAGGCAAGTACTGTAAGCGCTTTGCCTGGCCATTGCGCTGCCGAACATTCAAACCGCACAGAGATCCAATGGGCATTAGAAAGTACGGGGTGCTGAGGTGCAAAACAGACTCCAGAATGTTAAATGACTGGCATACTTGCCTATTAAATAGTATATATATAATATACTCATATATATATATATATGTGTGTATAGTTTTTCTTCTTTCTTTTTTGTGTGTCCTATTGCCTGCAACAGCGGCAAGCAATTCTTACTCTTCTAGAGCAAGGCAAGCCATCATCATCCACTGGGCCCAGGGAATGGGAAGCTGTATGCCCAATATTTTGTATATATGCAAAAGTGACTTTTGGCAATCACACCAAACGGACCAAACTTTCAGGTGCCTGAGTTCGATTCGATGTGTGACAGGGGAGTTGATTTTTCAGTTGTGACAGGGTTTTTCACATCAGAAACGCTTGATGTCCCATCGGAGGCTGGCATTTTCTAGGCGCCTGCCTGGCAGCCGCTCCACAATACTGTGTGCCGTAAATTGCCAAGAAATGTGTATTTCTGTGAGCCATTGCTGATTTCTTGTAACTGTGAGTAGCGGCTGACGGCTGGGAACAACTGGTGTGCTTGGCAAGAAAAGACAAGTTCAGAACATGAGTATCCTTGCTGGTGTCACACATGGCCTGCACACTATGATCTCAATGGTGCTTGCCACATTGGCTCACAGCTATTTGCATTGCCGTGGGGATGTCCCATGGCCAAGAGCATGAGGCACATTGCAGGACTTGTTCTCAGTGAACTTCTCCAAAGAGCTCTCCAGGATACTACAGATGTGGCATCGAAGGATGTCCGAAGGGTTGAGAAAAGCAGGCATGGCCGACTTTCATTGTGTTGCACCCGCGACACAATGCAAATGACACACATGCTGCTTGCACATGTATATTACAATATGTGTATATATATATATATATAAGTCCACATTTATTTTTACATCCATAAGACACGACCACACTCGGGAAATGCGTACGGAAATGAATGCCTCATGCCACACGGAACCTAGGTGAAAAAATTGCCTAAGTCTGAGTAAAACAGGAAGAGAAGAGTAGGTTGGAGGCCATCTCGACAAGGTTGGAGGCCATCGCTATTTGGTTGGCTCAGCTTCCGCTTCCGCAGGTTCAGCCTGTCGTTGATCAGTACAGTCTTTTTGAGTACAAGTAAAACAAGGCAAGAGCATACTGAAAAATCATGAAAAATCCACCTTTGATTGCCTACTTCAAGGCACAACATGGCATCAAAGAAACACTTGAGATTGGCAAACACTTGGACAAGAAAGCTCACGTCGAGTGCCGGCGTTCAATCCATCGGAAACCTGGTCTGACAGACTTGACCAAAGACTGAAAAGTGCAGGTACGATTACAGCTCTCACCATTGGCCTCTTCGTTGGCCATCCACCAATGGTGAGAGGGATGGCCCCCTGCAAAAGGCCCCCTGTGAATATAAGGGTGTCACACTTAGACAATGGGTTTTCTGTGACCTCTGTTCCTCGGAGAATGAACGATGGAACTGCAAGGTGGCTGAGTCCGCGATCAACAGAATGTTGAACAAATGTTGCAAAAGCGCTCAACGAAAGCGGCGATCAGCAGCTGCCATGCGGAGGGAAACCTGTTGTGGGGAGTAGCATGCAAAACCACCATGAAACAAATCAAGGGTGGAGCAGCGTGGTCAAAAGTTCCCACGAATGGACGTCTCCATTCGCTTCCCCTCCAGCGATTTAGCTTCGTTGGACAAGGTTCATCGCTGGAGGCCTTGCCCCCCCTGCACAAAAGTGGTACCCCTCGGGACGGGGTGTGACACACACAGAAGGCCGCTTCGCGGCGCTCTCGCGCAGAACCTAAATAGGCACCTAAAAAGCCTTAGGAAAGAAAAAGAAAAACAGAAAGAGCAAAGCGAAAAGGGCAAGAAGGAAAGGTAGGAGTAGCGGAAAAAGTGACTACTTAGCCCTTGACTGGGGCAGGGAAACGAGCCTCAAGAACAACCTAACGAGCCTGAAAGAAAGCGCAAGAGAGAAATCGGGGGGGCAGAGAGGCGATGTATGTGCATGTGTGTGTCCATGTGTGTGAATGACTACTTAGCACTTTAGTTTCTGACTACTTAGCAGAAATGAATTACGTGCAGTAGCTAGGGAGCGGGACTTTAGTCTTAAACCGCCCGGGTAGAGTAGCCAGAACAGGGACAACAGAAGGAAAGGCACCGACGCACAAGTGTGTCGAGTTCAAGTTCCATTTCCTTCTGTTACCCTAATTAGAGGGGGGGTTATAGAAACCGGCGGGGGTTTATTCTCCGTATGCCCGGCGGCGTCAAATATCCGTAAACTCGGCAGTGTTGCTGCAATGCGGAGGGAAACCTGTTGTGGGGAGTAGCATGCAAAACCACCATGAAACAAATCAAGGGTGGAGCAGCGTGGTCAAAAGTTCCCACGAATGGACGTCTCCATTCGCTTCCCCTCCAGCGATTTAGCTTCGTTGGACAAGGTTCATCGCTGGAGGCCTTGCCCCCCTGCACAAAAGTGGTACCCCTCGGGACGGGCAGAATTTTCTGAGCGAGCTAGGGTCGGGCGGAAGGAAGGAAGGACGGACGGACGGAAGGAAGGAAATGCATGTGCACATGTGACACATGTGCGCGCAAGAGGGGCAAGCAGAGAAGACATGAAAGGAAGACCAGACAAGACCAAGCAAGGTATGTGACTGCGATGGAGGGGAAGCCAAGTGTACAGGGACAGCCGGCGAGCCAGACCTCATTGTAAAAAACCTGGGCCACCTCACTAAGGGCCGGACCGATGTGCGCGCAAAAGAGAAAAAAAGGTGTGAAGGGAGAGAGACATGAAAGGAAAGAGGCAAAGAAGTGTGTGCGAAAGGGGGATCAGACCAAAACAAAACAAAACAAATGAAACCAAACCTCATTAAGCAAACCTAGGTGGACCTCGCCGCGTTTGTGTATCAAGGAAAGTGCTGTGTGTGCACCTAAGGCTGGGTCGGTCCCAACGGACCAAAAGAACTACGGCCGCCGTGGCCTACTTCTGGCATTCAGCCTGCTCTGGCTCTGGCCCGCTGTGGGCCACTCATGGCGTTCAGCCTGGTCAATAATCAAACCAAGTCGTCAGGTCTTAAGTGTCTGAACTTACCTTTGCGCTAAGGCTCCTTCGTGCTCTACGGACTACCGGGCGCAGGGACATAGACAAACCCCCGTTCGACCGGGCCATGGAGGGCACTCTTCGGGCTCAACCAGCTCGTGCACAAAAGCCTCCAGGAACATTTCAGTTCTTGCAGAGGTCGCAGGTACCATACTTTATATCCACACCTGGCTCTTACAAAGGTGCTTTCTCGCAAAAACCAACTCTTTTATAACCTATAATCTTACGGCTTCGCGCTTCCAGAATGTTGATGTCCTTTGAAAATCTTTCGCGCGGGCCTCGCCCTGTGGCACTGTATGACCTCATCCGTTTGGTGAAGTTTCCTTTATTCGGCCTGCTTCTTTATCAGCATGCTGTTTCCTTTGCAAAAATTTTGCTCCTGAAAGGGTCCGTTATGGACAGCACCTTCCAAAAAGCAGTGCGGACCTTTTGATCAACCCTGATGGTTACCTAAACCAAGGTCTGTTTGAGTTTAGATGTGTCTCCCAAGCCCTTTGAACAAGTAAGTTCCTTTAGAGCATCCATTTTGCACATATAGTGCTCTTGAGGGTCTATAATGACTCCATACATGCACACACATATACACACCCATTTTTTAGCAAACACATTGTTCATTTCCAGAAGCCTTTTGGTTAGTCTGTCCGCTTGGTAGTGAGGTCCTTGTGTTCCTATTCAGTTTGCCTCCTGCTTACACTAAGATTTTGTTCGCGTCATCAAGTTGACATAGGAGGAGGCACAACTAATTCAGGAGTTGCGAATATCTTTTGTTTCCGGTGGTGCGCCAGAAGAGGTATCACAACAATAGCTCAGAAGTGGCAGGTACTAAGAGGTACTAGCACCTACTTGGAACCAAGAACCAAGATTGCACAGAATTCTTGGTAGTAATCCTGGCTTTTGTTTCTGGGCCGGGGCTAGTACCTCTTAGTACATCGTCAAACAGGCTATGTATGGAACCTATATGGACAGAGTTAGTTTTTCTTCTCTAACCCAATAGCTTGAAATCATGATACTTATAATAACGGCAGGCTGCAACAGAAGCAAACTTTATATGTGTGGCTTGCATGCACGTCCAAGAGTTCTGTGTGACATTCCCCGCAAGGACTGAAGAACCACCCAGCTTATGTACTTATTTGTGTTTCTTACCTTCTCTCACTCTCTCTCCCGCTAGCGTTCCGAGTGCATATGTTTATATGACTATTAATCACAATACATGTCAAATTTATACTTCATAAAGGTTGTCATTGACCTGCGGCCAGTGAGG